TTGATTTAATATGTGACCAACACATTCTTTTAACATGTTCATAACCTCTGCTATCTCTCTCACTTTAATTCGGCGGTCGTCTACCACCATTTAGTGAACTTTGGCGATGTGTTCAATGGTGTTTGCAGTTTTTGGACGTCCCGAACGTTCATCGTCTCCCAAGCTCTTACGGCCACCTTTAAATTCAGCTGCAGAAAATGTCACTGTGGTAAATGTTGGTGCAGAGACTCCATACACAGAATCCGACTCATCTTTGATTTGCGTAGGGGTATTGCCTTTCAAAAACAAATATTTAATGACAGCTCGATACTCGAATTTGTCTATTTTCACAGAAGCACTCACGTCAACTCACTCAAATGACTCTTACATAAGACCTGCGCGTCCAAAGTGGCTGAAACTTTGGTGAGTGACTGTCAACAGATGAAGAACGAAATTCACTAGCTTTTATTCACGATTGCTGACATCTTCACATGGAGGTAGGAAACTATCCAGATCACCCTCGTAGGTGTTAATCCGATATCAAATAAATCATAAATAGTAAATTAGGTATCTAAAAAGCACGTTCAGCTCGCATCACAAGTAGCTTTTTCGTCCACTATTGTGTTTTGATAGTAAGGGTTTTTAGGCAGTGCTGCTATTTTCATTATATTTCCTAGATATTTGCAGGTGAAGCCTTTATACCTACATATTTCCGTAACTGGCAAGATCCTAGGTTTGCATTTCTCATGAAATTAGTTAATTGTTCATGTAGGTGTTTTTGGTTTTTGGTTTTAGTCACACAAATCAGACCTGTTATAGTTGCGTAGATCTTCGATCCACTACTCTTTTGAAATCCTTTTTCAAGTTCGAAAATGGTAAGGGGAATAAGTAATAAAAAAGGCGTCCCTTTAGAAAAGATGAAAAATATGGCATGGGATAAAGCAGGGAGCAGGTTAAGAGGTGCACATCTGTAATTTTTGTCGATCGGAAATTAAAAATGATGTATCTATCTGGAATACCTATATTCTATATCATTGCTTCAGATTAAAATGTTAATTGGTGATAGGCAATTTTTACTAGGGTTTTGGCACCTAACTTTTAGATAAGGGACATGTAAGCATCTGCTTCTTGAAAACCGCTTCTTTTAATAATAATTTTGAACTTCAATTCAAATTTATTTATTCATGTTAATACACTTTAATCAAATTCAAGCGGATAACCAAATGGAAATGGTATTTACCATTTTGGGTTGGTATTTACCAATCCGTTCAAGCGAGTGTAGTTGTCAGTTTGGTTATAAGATCCGTGACGTCACGAATCAGCTGTTATATGCTATAGTTATCACCGCAAAATTATGGTATTTACCCAACTCAAGAGTAGTTTTATATTTCTGGTTATTATTTGAAATGTGACAAGTTAGAATTTTGTCGGGTATTGGATATTGTTATTGTACTTCAGCTTTATTTTTGAGAAAAATGATACAGGCTGACTTCACTTTTACCACTTTATTAGTTATACTCATTACGGTTGTTGGGGACACTTTAAATGTAGTTCCTATGCTTAACAAAGTATCCTGTGTAGCCATATACCACAAGAATATTAAAATATGGCCATATAAACTCACTAGATGATATCCATCTGTATACGGTTTTGCTAATTTCTTTTTTCATCATTTCTGCTGAATCAATAAATGTTTTCTTTGACATGTGGAAAAATTTAGAGAATTGAAAGTTATCATACCTACAAAGCCATGGTTCCATCATTAAAAAAAAATCTGAAAAAACATTTCTCCCATGAATATTATGAAAGGTTTCTTATTTAAACTTTCCATATACAGTTGTAGACGAAAAAGCACCGATTATTAAGTGATAATAAAAATAATCAGAGATTATATACGCGCTTTTCTAAAATAAACAACTTGCAACAAAACCGCGGTTAAAACCAACGCGTTCAAGCGATTCGTGTAACTGACGTCATCAACCCGTGTGTCATCTTGAACAATATTATAACCGCGGCACATAACACAGAAATTTTGGTTATTCGCTTGGATTTGATTAATATTGTGTTTACAGTTGACATCTGATGAACTTCAAAACAATGAAACACCTGTCACAACAAAGGATACAGAATACAAACAGGGATCCAAGATGGAAACATAAACATCAAAATGTTCCTAACATTAAGAATAACGAAGTATCAGCGGGCTCTAAGCAGTATCAGTTTGGGATTACTTAGAGTAATGTATCTTGTTCAGCAGCTCAATAACTTTATTTAAGTCGTTGTTGAAATCTAGCTTGGGCTAGTGTTACTTTGCACGTGAAAAGATGCTTAACATTACAAAGTAGTTGTTTGCTTTTGAAACATGCTATTTTTTGTCAATTGCCAAGATGAGGGTCTAGTTTTGGACACCTTCCTCTATGATTTAACCAGTAAATATTGTTATTTACGCATATAGAAACATCAACAAATAAAAGGTCGAACCACCTAATTCCCGATGCACTGTTTAACAGAATTTTAATGAAGAAGACTGGGAGGAGCAATGTTTGTTGGCATGTCGACGGCAGAGAGAGAGAGAGAGAGAGCCAGATCACTGACCGCCCGCCGATAATGATAAGCTTGACAATCGGTCAGGCATTCCTCGTCTGAACAGCATCAATTTTCTATGCTGGCTGGTGCAGATTCAGAAGGTTAGATGGCAAAACGCTGCAGCTAGATGATTTTACCTGTAACAGACCAAAGCAAAGGGCTTCATGAAAAATCTAAGTCATTGGTCAATATCAATATCGATCAATATCAAGATATGCAGTGTGATTCAAAAAATAGTAGCAATATTTCTATAAACATAGGTTCTAAAAGCTCCTTTCACCTGGCTACAGGGTGTTGAAGCTATAATTATGATTTCGAAATCGAAACAAATATATACCTTTGGAGTGGTTCAAGGCTTAAAATTTTGCATATGTCATACTAACAGCATCGCACATACATTCAAAAATGTTCATGCTTGAAACAATAGCAGTGGTGTAGGAAATGGAAATTTTGATCCATACACAAGAAAAAAGAACATTATTACCTACACCACTGACTATTTTGAATCATTACTTTAGAGGTGCACCCAGTACCCGGTTTTTACCCTGTACTCGGCATACACAAATTGTGTACATCAAAGAGAAGCATCTGTAATGTGCAAAACTTGACCTCGTACGCTTTTCCCAAAACTTTCTGATATGTCCCCAAGACAAAAACGCACCATCAAAGAAATAGCCACGGTTACAGCATATTAATATCGACCGCTCTTCTCCAGTAAGCTAGTGTATTTACCGTATTCGCGTAGCCTATATTTTATGTTCATGGTGCTACTACTAAGTACATGTTTTTTTTTTCTTATAAAATGCCGTCCATGGGGCAGCTAATAAATCAGTTTGAACTGAAATCACTTTATTCAATTTATTTATATCTATTTCTTCTTCCTTCATATAAAAATCAATCACAATAAAAAAACAACAATAACCACAAATCAAGGTAATACAAAATGCAGCGCGAAAGTCGAAAAGTAATGTAAATAAATATTTCGCGTTTATGCAAAGAAAAACTTTACGCAAAGGATAATTTTGGTTTAGTCTTTCTAAGATTAAATTGGTCCCGCCAAAACAGCCAGGAGCAACAGCATCTGAAAAATCGCACAAAAATGTAGGGGAGAGAGGTGCTGAAAGTGCCGGGGGTAAGTAGTGCCGACGCGAATATCTCATAAACAGACAGAGATACGTTCACATTACGCCGCAAAATGCGTCCGGCTGACGCGGCAGCCATTTCAGTTGTTCTCGAGATGCGGACCAGGTAGCTACGTATATGAGTGCCCTAAAACGCCACGTTTTTTAAATATTTTAATGTTTTTACTTTTTGGTCTCAAGTCTATATAATTCGTTCTTTTGATATGTAAATTTTACTAAAATGTTTGTTAGTCATCTACAAATGTTACACAATGCAATTTGAATGCTTTGTACAGAGTGTTTTTTCCATATGCAACAAAAGGTCTTAATCTTACAAACGGGGTAAATTGTGCTTTTTATTTGGGGCCAGTTGTGCCGCGGCACTTTCAGTATTCTAATAATGTCTTCTGTTTACTTGAGAATACTAAATCCTTCATAACTTATTTGACAGGGGGGACTAGGTACATCTCAAGATCTTATGCAGAGGGCTGGTGAAGCGGTCATTGTAGAAGGGCGCAAACTAAAAACTTTCGCGCGTGAGTTAGAAATTTGTCATACAACTCTACAACGCTATGTCAAAAAAAGAAGGAGTGGACGTACTGCGACGGTTGGATACAAATCAAGAGTAGTATTTAATGAAGAACAAGAGATGTTATTGTCGTCATACATTCGGAGAAGTACCTCTATTTACTTTGGTCTTATCCCGGAAAGAGTCTGACAACTTTCATACCAGTGTGCGATAAAATTCAATTTCCAAAATATTCCACCATCTTGGTATAAAAATGGCGAGGCTGGTAAGGATTGGTTGACAAATTTTTTGAAAAGGGACCCTACACTTTCTATAAGGTCACCGGAAGCTACCAGTGCGGAACGCGCGTCCGCATTCAACCGACATAGCGTGGAGCAATTCTTTGAAAAACTGGCGACCTGATCATCAAGTATAATTTTACTCCTTCTCGTATTTGGAACCTAGATGAGATTGGCATCCAAATTGTGCTAAAACCAAAGAAAATTGTGTCAAAAAAATGAATAAAGCAGAGCGTGGAACTTTAGTTACAGTTGAGCTTGCGGTAAGTGCCTTGGGAAACCCAATTCCACCGATGTTTCCTCGTCTGAAATTCAAAAACCTGTTTATGCGGAACGGCCCTCCTGAATGCATTGGGGCTGGCAACCGCTCCGGATGGATGACAAGCACAGAGTTTCTAGTGTTTATGAATCATTTTACAAAATAGTTAAACCTACTCCTACAAAGCCAGTGTTGTTGCTCCTGGATAATCATTCATCTCACATTGATATTGATGTGATTGAAAAAGCTTAGAGCAACTCAGTCATATTATCATTCCTCCCACATTGCACCCGCCCATTAGATGTGGGTATTAACGGCCCTTTCAAAACGTACTGCTCTAAAGCCCAAAGTAAGTAGCTAAGAACGAATCCTGGAAAGACTATGACCATTTATGAAATATATCAGGAATAGTCAAATACGCTTTTTCTCTGGCAGCAGCACCTACCAATATATGTAGTAACGCTTTCAAAAAGGCTGGTATTTGGCCCTTTAATTCTAATGTTTTAGAGACGATGATTTTGCACGGTCTTTCGTCACCGATTGCCCAAAGTCGGAAAACCAACCCGTCCTAGAAAAAGACAATTTGCCTGGCCTTTTAAACACTGAAGAAAGCGTCCTTGAAGATCTTGAGGAGGCAATCTGTATGGAAAGCACTGTTGAGACTGGTCCATCAACAATTCAGCAGGATCCTCTCCCAAATGACTGTACAAGTGAATCAGGACTTTCAGGTATTCAGCATCCTTACTGTGTAAATGGCTGTGTACCATCAGCTGATCAGGAAAAAGTTAATGTAAGCTGTGAAAAGGATGAGTCACGCCAGAACCGTCCAGAGCTTGGGAGGAGGAGAGGAGATAAAGGCGTGTATTTCTCACCGGAATCAATAAGACCATTGTCCAAAACACCACCCCGATTAACTGGAGCTAATAAATGGCATAAAATAAAGTCAGCTGTTCTTACGGATACTCCTGAGAAAAATGGTTTGGCAGAAGAACAGGCTAACAAGAAAATGAAGAAGGAAAGTAAGCCAACGAAGAGTATTAAGAAAAAGGTAAAGCAAAAGATGGAAAACAAATGAAAAAGAGTGGAGAGAGTAATGGACTAGAATGGTACTGCATCATATGTTGTGATGCCTACTATAGCTCTGCTCCAGGAGAAAATTGGATTGAATGCAGAGAATGCATTCGCAATGTCTTGAAGATGAAGATAGCTTACCATTTGTGTGTCCTAATTGCTATTCTGACCAGTCATCTGTAGAATAAGTTTATTTTTAATATGTTTAAGTTTCATTAGTACCACCAACTGGAGAAACTGATTAATTAGTTAATAGTTACGAAGATAGATCTGTTACTTTAGAATCTAGGCAAAAGTTTGATTATTTTTCGTTACGCTGTCTATTGAGGCGGATATTTATACTTGATAGTATAGATTTGTTTTGAAAAATAAAAAATGCTAACTATTAATAGAGAAGATACCTTAAGTTTGAAATATCTAGAATAATAAATATTGATTGATTTTTGTTTAATTCTATTTATTATTATAAAGCAACAAAGTTCAATAACTGTTGATTTGTATAAAATATCTATTAATGCATATAAAGTTATAAAATGTTTGTGTTTGTATTTCTAACTTATTTATATATTTATATATTTATATAAATTACCAAATATCAGGAACGGCACAATCGATCTCAGCTACAGCAGAACTTGCCCCAGAGCGGGGTTGGTAGTGCCTCTCGACCTCTTCTCAAAAAAGTCGGTTTCTGTCAAAAACTGTTAAAGGTGTACTAAAACTGCATACAAATTCATGAACTAGATAAATATTGCCTTAGATAAACCACAATTGCTAGTCGTATTATGTGTTTTATCCGATTTATATTAGGATTTGCCAAAATCGGCACCTTCAGCCCCGCTCTCCTATAGGATTTAAATTTGGAGTTCGCGATGTCCAAGACATAGTTTCGATTCTATTTAGTTCCGTTTATCAATGTTTGAGCAGCTTGAGGCCTGACATTGCCCACTCCAGCAAACATGTACGTTTAAGTATTCTCACAAATGTGCTTTTTTGCAGTAGAATTGAAAGGTATATGAAATCTAAATGTGTCAAAAATGACTCAAAATATGCGTTCAATCCTAATTCCAGATTATAGCTACTACTTATATTCCACAGTAGAAACTTATACGTTTTTTCGTAAACTTTAAAAAACAAAACAATCGAAAATACCACTAACCTGTGACACTACACTTGAAAAACATTGTCGAATGTGTTTTTTGTCATGCGTTCATTTTTTGGGAGGGTGAATCAATTTTGAGAATAAAGCCTCATTTAAATATCTTAACACCATTAACAGTAGGTAAAATAATAATAGTACATCAGGTTCGAGTACCTAGCCAAGTACTCTGCCGAGTATGCGGTACTCGGTATTCAAATTTCATCGTCGTACTAAGCCTTGACAATGAAAATTGTATCTATTAGGGTAGTAATCCTCTTTCACAATAGCATTATTTGCAGGATATTCATGTTTCAATTACATTTTTGGACATAAGCTTACCGAAAGTTTTTTGTTTTTAGAAGTACTTGCTGCTCTAGAAATATTCCCAATGATTTTTTAATCACCCTGTATGATATACTATCATGCACCTCACCGAAACGGAATTAGCCGATTTTGGTCGCAGCTGGTGCTCCGAAAATGAGGCGCATCTGCCCGCGTTTGGCCGAAAAGGTATCCGGCGAATGACAGTTTTAAATTTGTGTTTCGTTGTGTGGTTCCAATCGACGGACGTGGAACGAATCAAATTATTTTGCATAATCAGATGTATCTCGCCCCGTCCCTGTCCGTCGGTTGATTTGTCCAAATAAATGATGCATTACCAACGGAATGTTCAAGATGACCAAAGTATATGCCGAATCATCGTCGAGCTGTTTGTTGTACACGTACCCGGGCACATGTAGTGAATAATGGGCTTTCACTCACCCGTCCGATCGTTGCCTCAGAACGTTTTATCATATCTGGGGTTCAGATGGAATGCTTCCATTAGTCTCTGTGGATCACTCAAGCTCCAAAAACATGAGCCAAGTAGATAGATTTAGTGATATCATAAGGATTGCCACAGGACTGTTAAAAAACCCCACGCAAAGCCTTTGATGGGATTTTCATAAATTTTGTTATAGTCGGTTGAATAACGGTAAACTTGCGCTCTCAGGTAAGAAAATGGCCTTTAGAAAGTTTCGCAGTTCCAAAAAATTCCGGACATTGGCGAAAGAAATCGAATTTTCCCGAAATTGTTTATTTTTTCCTGACTTTATTTAAAATCCGATTTCAAAATAAAAGGAACATTAATATTTTCTCTTCTATAAGGTACATTTATACACAAATATCTTTTTTTCAGACAACAGTAATTTGGTCAAATGAAAAAGGTTTTAACTTCTAATAATACACGAAAACGAACCATGAAAATACTTTGACACTAGGTCGCTGCAATGGCGAATAAACTTCACAGAAACGCATAGAAGGTGTCCTGAAGTTTAGAAAGACCCTCTTCAGAAAAAGAAAGTTTCGCAGTTCCGAGTACTTACGGAATTTTCAAGAACTCTCTTATTTTTTCCTGACTTCATTTCAAGTAGAATCCAAAATAAATGGTAAATTAACGTTGCCCTTTTTCTCCTTTACTCGTCCAAGATGGAATAATTAGAATTTCAATACCTAGTTTCGTCTCTGGTCCTCAGTTGTCAACTTTGTTATTTCTTATAGACCCGATAAGAAAATGGACTTTAGAAAGTTTCGCAGTTCCGATAAATTCCGGAAATTGGCGACAGATATCGAATTTTCCCGAACTTGTTTATTATTTCCTGACTTTTTTCCAAAATAAAAGGAACATTAACATTTCCGGTTTTTCTCTTCTATAAGGCACATTTATACACAAATATTTTTTTCAGACAACAGTAATTTGGTATAATAAAAAAAGGTTTTGGCTTCTAATAATACACGAAAACGAACCGTGCAGATAAATTTTGCTGTCAACTTACATTTAGATTCATAAGCCTAACTAACTAACTGAACTTCACAGTTTTGGGAATCGTAATTCATACAATGCGCGAAACGCATAGGTGTCCTGAAGTTTAGGAATACCCTTTTAAGAAAAAGAAAGTTTTGCAGTTCCGTTTAATTTTTTCCTGAATTTATTTCAAGTGAAATCCAAAATAAATGGAACATTAATGTTTCCACCTTTTCTCCTTTACAAGGTGGAATAATTAGAATGTCAATATCACGTTTCGTCTCTGGTCCTCACTTGTCAACTTTGTTCTTTCTTATAGACCCGATATTTCGTTTTCGCACAGGTAAATAGAGTTTTTAATTCTCATTACAAAAATGTAAAATATTGGTCATATATTGACATTGTCAAACCTAAATTTGTTCAAAAAACTAATATTTTCGTAGTTGGCCTAGAAAATCAGTTTATCACGTGCTCAAATAATTTAATGACTATAAGAAGCATTATTTTAGCCCGATGGAGGCGCTCTTCATATATGACACCTCAGCCTTAGATAAATAAGTACTATTTGAATGCAAGATGTGTTCATTTTTGAGGTTTTATAATAAAGCCATGTCATGATGTACAATATAACATCATTAAAATCGGAAACTCTCGACTTTTCACCTATTAGTAAAAACCGAAGGAATGCATTTGATGGGATTTTCAGAAATTCTGTTATAGTCCATTAAATGTCGCTAAACTTGCGCACTTACCGAAGGAATACTTATGAAACAAAAATGTCTATCTAATAATTTCAAGGCCGACTTGAGCTTTTTTAAGTAACTAAGATTGGCAATGTCAACATATTATACATTTTTGGAATCACAATTAAAATCTCTACTTACCTGTGCATATATCAAATAATAAATAAAGTTGTGTGGGAACTGAATTAACCCGCCTGAATCAATATTTTCTTAAATATCTGCAAATTCCATGTGCACAAAATAATAGTATATATATAATAATAAATAGTTTGTACATATTCATGTGCACAGGTTTATGTAAATAGTATGTCTGCCTAATTGCACCTTTTTTTTATATCCCAAATCTTACAAAACCTTAAACACGTTCTTACAAATGTTTCATATGAAAAGCATATTTGTTCCATTTGATCCATGAAGATAAAAATATTTGGTTTTTAAGAGGCACCATGGGTGCCATCTATGGAACAGTCTCGTAAAGCCAAGCCAAAAATACGTACCGCTGTCTCGGACCCTGAAATATACAACTCGCATATCTTGTGCGAGTCACGAAACTCGGATATCATGCATATTCCAAATTTTTCATTTGACAGCAATAGTTACATTTTTTACATAATAAGGGTGTGGGATATATAGTC